TTTGAAGTATGTAATAAAACAGAAATAAAAGTTCAACAACGACCGTGAAATTAATTGTGTATGAAATTTAATTTTCAGGACACTTCCTTCCTAGGTGTTAACTCCTATGATAAAGGGGAGTTAAACTCCACTCTATAGCTACACTAATAATTTGAGAATATTTTATGATGCAATATAACCTAAATGAAGATATTTTGGGCTGGAGTGATAGCACAGCGGGTAGGACATTTGCCTTGCATGCAGCCAACATGGCCATCCAGAGTTTGATTCCTCTGCCCCTCTCAGAGATTCTGGCAAGCTCCCGAGAGTATCTCGCCAAAGCCTGGCAAGCTACCCGTGATGTATTCGATATGCCAAAAATAGTAACAAGTCTCACAATTTGTTGTGAGACATTACTGGTGCCTGCTCAAGCAAATCGATGAACAACAGGAGCACAGTGCTACAGAAGATATTTGAAATTAGTTTAAAACAATTACAATTGGGATTAAATGTACTATTTACCATCTTCACTGAGTACATATTTCTTCTTGGTCTGTCTCAGAAACATCATTATATTTATATTATTTCACACTTCTTTTATTTTAATTTTTATTAGTGAAACACCATGAGGTACACTGTAGACTTAAAAATTTTTGTGCTTGGGTTTCAGTTATACAATGATCGAATACCCATCCCTCCACTAGTGTCCATTATCCACCACCACCAGTCCCAGTATCCCTCCCACCCCCCATCCCCCCATCCCACCCTACCACTGTGATAGGGCATTCCCCTCTGTTATCTCTCTCCTTTTGAGTGCTGTGGTTTGCAAAAGAGACATTGAGTGGCAATCATGTTTGGACTATAGTCTACTCTCATCACCCATTTCCCATCCTGAGAGGAACCTCCCAACACCCTTTATTTGGTGCTCCCTTCTCTATCTGAACTGCCTTTTCCCATAGTATGTGCAGCTGTCCTCAAAGGCATGGAGTAATCCTCCTGGTACTTATCTCGGCTATTCTTGGGTATTAGTCTCCTATTTTGTTACTTTATGCTCCCCAGATGAATGCAGTATTTCTATGTCTATCCCTCTCTTTCTGACTCATTTCACTTAGCATGATACTTTCCATGTAGTAACACTTGTATGTAAATTTCATGACTTCATCCTTTCTGACAGCTACATAGTATTCCATTGTGTAGATGTACCAAAGCTTCTTTAACCAGTCATCTGTTTTTGGGCACTCAGGTTTTTTCCAGATTCTAGCTATTGTAAACAGTGCTGCAATGAACAGACAACTGCAGATGTCGCTTCGACTATACTTTTTTGCCTTTCCGGGGTATATTCCCAGGAGTGGAATTGCTAGGTCAAATGGGAGCTCAATTTCTAGATTTTTGAGAATCGTTCATACTGTTTTCCAGAAGAGCTGAACCAGTCAACATTTCCACCAGCAGGTTTCACACTTCCTTAACATTTGTTTTTTAAGCATTTACATTTAAGAATTGTATAAGAACTTTGGCTTTGCTAATTAGTCCATCTCCATTGGCAAAATATTATTTATTTATTTGTTTGTTTGTTTATTTTGGTTTGTGCGGTCACTCTGGAAACGATCTGGGGTTACTCTTGGCTCTGCACTCAGGAATTACTCCTGGCAGTGCTTAGGGGACCATATGGGATGCAGGGTATCGAACCTGGTCCACAATGAGCAAGGCAAATGCCCTATCCGTTATTGCTCTGGCCCTGGAAAACTATTTTTAATATTAAAAAATGTTTAATATTTTCAAAACTGATCGAACAAGACATTGAAGTACTAAAACCCAAAGAAATATCACTCTTAAATATTTTGAAATAATTCTTTTCATGTGTAAACTTACTCAACAATTTTGAGGTCTATCTTTTTTCATATATGGAGCTAAATATCTGGAAAAAGAAATAAATAAACCTATCCCTGTCCTGAAGAATCTCATTGTCAGGGCTGGAGCGATAGTACAGCAGGTAGGGCATTTGCCTTGCACGCAGCTGACAGGTTCAATTACTAACATCCTATATGGTCTTCTGAGCACCACCAGGAGTAATTCCTGAGTGCAGAGCCATTAGTAACCTGAGCATCACCTGATGTGACCCAAAAAGCTAAAAAAAAAAAGAATCTCATTGTCTGCCTGAGAGATTTATAAACAGTGTTCAGTGCAAGGAAAAGATTGGAAGAGACATCAAAGTCTATGGGAGTAACCTGAAATTAAGGAAGCACAAGACTGTTTCAATTTTGAATTTTTAATTATTTTCTTTAAGCCAATGAAAGTTGCTTGCAATACAGATAGATAGATAGATAGATATTAATGTATATTAATGTATATTGAATATTTGCCCTGACAATTGTGGAGAACAATACAAATAGAGATGAAATTCAAGCTTCATATTTGGAAGTTTACCAGCAGTAATTGTGTTGGATTTTTTCTTTTTTTTTCCTTTTTGGGGTCACACCTGGAGATGCACAGGGGTTACTCCTGGCTCTGCATTCAGGAATTACCCCTGGCGGTGCTCAGGGGACCATATGGGATGCTGGGAATCAAACCCGGGTCGGCCGCGTGCAAGGCAATTGACCTACCCACTGTGCTATTGCTCCAACCCCTGTGTTGGATTTCCACATGAAGTTAATTGTTTTGATGACCATATGGTGAAAATATGGTAGAAATATAAAAATATCATCATTGAATGTGGAAAAACTTTAATAAAGAGAGAAAATTTAAAAGTACGATTTTTGGTTTAAGTAGTCTTATTGGACTTATCTGCCAGTATGCCATTTTCAGTGTTTTGCATTTGGTTTTGTTGTTTGGGGCCACAACAAATTGTGCTCAGGGTTTACTCCTAACTGTGAGCCCAAGTGATTCTCAGGGCACCATACAGGATGTCAGGAATGAACCCAGGTCAACATGCAAGGCAAGCTCCTTTCTAACTGTACTATTATTATAACCCTATTTTGCTATTTTGTAAGAATACTCACATATTGGGGGCACAGAGATAGTCCAGAAATACAGGAACATTCCTGCATGCAGTTATTCCCAGTTCCATACCTGACATCACATGATCCATTGAGCATTGCAAGGTGTATGCCCTACTCACTGTACTACTATATTATTGCTCTGGCACCATAGACCTAGATGTTCCAAACTTGAAACTACTAATAGAAGGCTATTTGCCTTGCATGATTAAACCAGCAGACCCAGGTTCAGTCTCCAGCACCCCAGTTGGTCTCCCAAGCTAGCCAGGACTAATTTCTGAGCTCAGAGCAAGAGTAACCTTTTCGCTAGGTGTGACTGAAAAATTAAAACAAACAAAAAACACATCAAAGTCTGAACTAAGGAAGTTAAAATTTCTCAAATTTGAGTTACTTAAGATATATTTTTAAATATTTTACATATTTCAAATATGAAAAGTGTTTCTCTTTTTTAAATAATTCATTTCTCATAGCATTGAAATATTATCAAAGACAATCTCTTTACACTGAAATTAGTCACATATAATCTTTCATTGTGCTTTAAAGTTTAAAACCCTCAGCACATTTGTTGTTTATTCTGTTTTCTCAATATCTCAAGAAAATAAAATATTTTTGATTAGTTATATTTTCAGAGCTAGAAATGAAGGCACAAATGCATGAGTTCATTATGGTCTTGAAACATTTAGAGAATCATTGCCACATGGTCTGGGTGAGTCTCCGTTGGTTTCCAGCATCTCACTAAGCACATAAAACTTATGTTCTTTGCTAATTTTGCCTTTGGGTGACCCTGGGTATTAACTTTATCCAGTTATTCTACATCCTGAGCCTTGCTCATATTTTGGACTCAGGTCAGCTCTACACACAATTCCAGGGTTTGCTTTCTCCACCCTCATTTCCCTTCCTCCAAAGGAAATTTATGGCAGAAGTAGCAAAAACTTTGGATTCAAACTTGCTTAGGTTCTACTTCTGGCTCCAAAACTAGTTTCCACCAAAGTGGAATAAACCAGCTTCTGGACCTCAGTTCTCTAACTTGATAAAATAAAGAATGCAACAGCTATCGGGAGAGGGCATCTGATTTACCTTGCATCTAAGTTTCTACCTCTCAAATAGCCTACTGTCCCTCAAGAACTGACAGAAGTGATCCCTGAGCACAGAGCTAGGAGCAAGAGTTGAACATCACTGTGGATCCTCCCCTCCCCAAAAAACCCAAAATAAAATAATATAAATAAAATGTTCTAATGTATGTAAGTAACCAGTGTGGTTTATAGCAGGCATTCAAGAAGCATTGACCTTTTCCTAAAAACACCTATCCTTTTCAAACCTGACATAGAGGAGCAATATTGTCACTACTTCATGAATGAACTATAAGACAGGACAATTTTTAGGGCCACACAAAAGGTAAGTAAAGATGAAATTAGATATTGGGTCTCCTAATGTTTATTGCAGACATGTTAAATGACATTTTACATCCTTATTCAGATTTATGACTTTAGGCTTCGCTATAGACATCTGCTTACAGAAAACATCCCACTTCCAGAATCCACTACCTTGCATCATTTTTTACTCTTTTTGACCTCGATGATTTTCTTTAAAGCCCCCAAGAATTTCCAGGCAGGAAAATACTAAAGTATAGATCTCTGAAATAGCCTAAAGACTACTTCATCTAAGAGATGTCAGCGAGTGGAGAATGAATCAATGCCCTTTTTCTTTTCTTTGCTAAGTCAACGCTGAAGAGCAGTACTTGTTCTGTGGTTGCTCACAGAAGGAGCCTGTGGACAAAATACCTTCCTTGGGGCTTTACCTACTTTTCCACATTCTCCTCTCCACTCTGGACCTGTTTCCGGAACCACAAAACAAATAAACTTGCACCAAATCCTTGCCCTTAAATCCTTGTCCAAAGCTACATCTCGGAAGCTAAAAAGAAACAGACAAAAAAAGGCATAGGTGGCAGAGGAAAAAATGGCCTGGCTGGGGGAGGGACTTGTTTTGCTCTCATTTGCATTTGTATTGCATTTCTCTGTTTCTGCACAGGTCACCAAGATGCTGGCAGTGGTTGTAATTCTGTTCGCCCTTTTATGGATGCCCTACCGGACTCTTGTGGTTGTGAACTCATTTCTCTCCAGCCCTTTTCAAGAAAATTGGTTCTTGCTCTTTTGCAGAATTTGCATTTATCTCAACAGTGCCATCAACCCAGTGATTTACAACCTCATGTCCCAGAAATTCCGCGCAGCCTTCAGAAAGCTCTGCGACTGCAAGCAGAAACCAGCCGAGAAGCCTGCTAGCTATAGTGTGGCTCTGAATTACAGTGTCATCAAAGAGTCCGATCATTTCAGTACAGAGCTTGATGACATCACTGTCACCGACACTTACTTGTCTGCCACCAAAGTGTCTTTTGATGACACCTGCTTGGCTTCTGAAGTAACCTTTAGCCAAAGTTGATTCATGACCTGAAAGAAAATGAACCTGAAAGTGAATGAGTCTGAAGTTCTCAGCCCAAGAGAGAAAACAGTCAATATCCATCCAAGAAGACAGAGCAGATAAAGGTTTTGCCAAAACTCTAACAAATTCTGGTCCAAGAACTTTAACCCATAAGAAGCGTTCATAGATTCCTTTTTATAGAAATAATATGACCAAAAATTGAAGTAGTTCTGTGAAACAGCTAAGTTGTGAAAATTAAAAGCATAGCCTTAAGAAATTTACTATATTTGGAGGTGGAGAAGGGACCAAAGTTCAGATAATATGTAGATGTCAATTTAAATTATTTATCAGATTTTTAAAAAGGTATTTTTCACCCTCCAAAATTATTGATGCACTTTAGTAATTTGACAATATGCCAATCTTAAGTATTTTCATTTTAACAAGATGTTGCTCTACTTCACGAGTATCTGAGACATAGAAATAGCAAAAAATAAAATTTATTTATTGAGTGAAAATAAGATTTTAGACAGGAATGTTCACTTATATAAAAAAATCAAAGTCAGAACTCTGAGAAATTATTTTAGTCTTAAAAATTATATGATTCAATTGAACTGTAAAACAAACTTCAAAATTTGACAAATTACTGAAAGTACAATTTGAGAAGACAAAGATTTGATTTTTAGGTAAGTCCAGCTCTTAATATTTCTTTATCTCTCCAAAATGATGAATGAGAAAATCAAAATAATCAGATTAAGTAACTGTAAAATAACAAATTGGCATAATATTTGTATTGAAAAGTATAGCCAAGACAAGATCAATTACTTAAAATAAGATTTTACTTTTTTCTCAGAAACATTCAAAGAAGGAAGCCTTACTTTCAGCATTTTTGTATATAAATTACTGAACCATGTCTAGGGAATCCATCTAGCTGAGTCTAGCATAAAAGTCTGAAACAGTCTCAGTTTTAGTTGCTATTCGAAGACCAAAATCTATTACATTCCAGATGAAGACACCCCACTGAGCCCTGCAGTCAATTGATTTTAACATGTCTACAATTGTCTTTTTCTTCCTGTCTACTTGTCATTTGCAGGTTCTTTTTACAAATGCTAGTTTTCTTTGTTTACAGATTCTAAGTCAAAGCAATGCAAAATTCTGTTGTTTTATTTGCAATATTGCTAAAATGTATTTCTTCTCATTATCATTCTCTCTCTGCTGGAGCGATAGCACAGCGATATCATTCTCTCTCTGCTGGAGCGATAGCACAGCGGGTAGGGCGTTCGCCTTACAAGCGGCCAACATGGCTGACCCGAGTTCGATTCCTCCGCCCCTCTCGGAGAGCCCGGCAAGCTACCGAGAGTATTTGATATGCCAGACACAGTAACAACAAAGTCTCCAATGGAGACGTTACTGGGCCCGCTCTAGCAAATCGACGATCAACGGGAGGGCCTTTACCTTTACCTTTTTACCTTATCATTCTCTCTCTAGACCTGACTTCAACCTCCTATCACAGTTACTATGAGCAAGGCATGAATGTAAATCTGCCCAACACATAGTATGAGATTCTACTTTTTAAGTCCTTTCATGTGACTCACCTACTGAAATCTGGTTAATCATAGTCTCCAAGTGTACAAAATGTCCTTGGCAAAGACTGAGTAAAAGCTGATTTTTAAGACCTATATCAAATATTCCTGGTATTTGTAATGCCCCCAATGCAGACTGGCATTTTCTTTCTCTATTTTATATTTGCATTTCATGGATTCTCCCTGATCTCACACCTAATTACTAAAGATAATGACCCCACATTCTTAATAAAAAATACATCATACCACTGCAGAAATTTTGATTTAAAAATATTAATGAGAACTCTGCTATCCTGAACTAAACATGCTTTTGTGAAATCTAGTCTCTTCAATGCCAGGAAGACATTTTCAATCCTGCTATTGTATTAGTAAAAAAAAAATGCAAGCAAGAATTTATAGAAAATACCCTAAAAAGTCTTTCTGTGTGACATTTAGCTATTTTAATTGATTTTTATACTGAATTAAATGTTAATCTTGGTATCATATAAAGAACCAGAGTGACATACAAACATATATACAATTACAGTGACACATGTAAAGGTTCACATATACATGTGAACATATTGCTTTCACAAAGGGTATTGGATTATATTTAATTTTTTTCATTAGGGCAAGGAACTGAGAGCATTGAACTGCCATGTATTGGGTATGCTGGTAAGTATTTAAATAATTTTATATTCATCAGTTTCACTGTAGCTGCAATTTCTCTGATGAGAATAGCAGGGATCAAGAATCACTACGAATTCCTGAAACCATGTAAATATCAGAAAGAGAGAATGGAGTAAGTAGGTCTTTATCATTTTTTTAAATTTATAAAGTATTTATTACACACTTCTAAAGTGCTTTTTTTAAATAAATTTATCTTTTATTTTCAAAATTCATCTTGCAGTCTAAAATTTTGAAAACTGATAGCCTAATAAAGAAAATTAAAAATATATACTTTGCAGAGAGGTAAATAACATTAGATGTTGAAAACTTTTGCAAGTGATTTCACAAGTACACAGAACACAGTACAATATATCTACCTTTGAAATTTTACTATGAGCTCAGTTTCTCCATTTTACTTTTTCAATTATTGTTTGCTAATTATCTGTTAGTTTGAGACAACATGGGAAATTCAAAAGAACACAGTTCATGATGTTTCAATTCTAAAGCAAATCCATTAAGAAATTAAATGTTTCCATGCAATGTGCAATAGTTATCTGGATCTGCACAAGGAAACATAACTTTTTAAAGTGTTCTTTATCAAACTGTATTATATCATAAAGTATTCTCATCAATAATCAAAACTTAATATACCACCAAATGAAAAAATAAAGAACTGGATTGAAAATTACTGATGAAGTAAAGTAATACTATTAAGTAGCTGCCTTAATCACATTCTTTGAATTATTACTTGCAATTTCATGAATTGCTAAGTATCTGTGTTAGATCATGCACCTGAGGTGATTAGCCGAGGTACCCATGATGAGTAAAACAAGCAAGAATGAATTCCCCCTTAAAACTTTTCAATCAATATTATGAGTCTGTTTCTAAAGTTTTGCTCCAACACAATTATCCTAAATGTTGAGAGAAATGAGAAACTCTAACTTATTTATTCTTCAACCAGGAAAAAAAGCACTGAACACTAAATAGATCTTTACAATATTATGGCCGGCCCAAGTTCGATTCCTCCGCCCCTCTAGGAGAGCCCGGCAAGCTACCGAGAGTATCTCGCCCACATGGCAAAGCCTGGCAAACTACCCGTGGCTTATTTGATATGCCAAATACAGTAACAACAAGTCTCACAATAGAGACGTTACTGGGCCCCCTCAAGCAAATCGATGAACAATGGGAGAACAGTGCTACAGTGCTACAATATTTTAAAACAAGGAGCAGTGGAGTCAAAGGAAAATTTATTCAAGACAACTTAGACTTTAAATGTATACTTGAATTGATTCATTCTCAGAAAACCTATGGAATAATGACAATATTTAAGGTTAGGTCACATGATTTAGATCTTCTCTTTAAAAATAAAAGATACATCATTACATACGACACTAAATGTGATAATCATAGAAAAGAAGGATTATTTGGAAAGAAACATTTTAAAGAGTTTACTCAATACTATTTGAGTTCTATAAATATCACACTGAACATTATCTTTGTTTTTTAATTACAACTTTCCAGGGCTTATAATTTTGGGGGGATGGAGTAATAAAACTAAATATGGATGTTAGACCATCCATAAACCACTAGCAAGTCCCAAAGTCAAAGTACTTTTATAAATTCAGAAACATTCATTCTTCCAGAAAAGAGAAAAGGATAAAAATGTATAGCACTTTATTTTCCATTTATTCATATTAACAGTAAATTGAATGAAAATTATAGTAAGAACTAAAACATTTTAAATGAAAAATTTTACTAACAGAAAATCATAATTAAAACCAAGATTAGTCTGAGAAATTATGTTTTTAAAATGATACTCATGAAGAATTCTTACAGTTCTATAATAATAAATAGGTTTTATTCTCCTATTCCTCCTCACTTCGATTTCTATTATCAACAAACAACAAGCATTTTCTTAAAGGAATCAATTTTCTTTGATTTTATGCAAGACTAAACTTGAACATAAAATGTCTTAAGTAAAGGAATCCAATTCTTTCAAGTACATTCATAAGAAATTGTTTTGCACAGCTAATATTTTTATAAAGTTACATCTAAATTATGAAAACTCTAGTGCTTCTAGAATTTCTCTTTAAAATATGTCTTATTTTCCTAGTAGGAGTCATGTGTAGTGTTGCTATTGTCAATATAATTTGTAATTTTCAATGTAATTCCTTGTGGAACTAGATATCTGGTATTGCAGAGGTTTCAGTGAAAAATTAATATGTGAAAAATTCCATATGAGAAAAACTACCACAGAAATTTGTTTCAGAAAGCAACAGTGTCTCCCCATGCTCAAGAAATACTTAATTCAACAAGGAAAAACATCTCAAGGTATAATTGATTGGCAATAGTTAAAATAAAAATTAAGGATTTCATAAATACTTCAGAGACATAATTGTTAAAATTCCATTTGAAAATTCTTTGAGACAATTTTAACATAAAAATTATTTCCAAAAAAGGAAACAATTTTATAAACTAGAAATAGAAATTATTTTTTTCTTAATTTCATTTATTGCATAGGAGAAAGAAAAGATCAGATAAGATCCTATAATATTTTATGTATATGTATTGTTCTATAAATTTAATCTGAAACCTCTTGGCACAAACCTTGTAATAGTTACAAGTTGAAAAACAGTTTGTTGCTGAAATGGAGAGCACAAAACTGATGAGCTAAACCAAATGTGCATGGTTCTGATTTTAATATTCAAGTAATTCCTTTTGAAAATTATGTGTGAGTGTTTGTATATACTGTAATAAGGCATGTTTACATTTCTTCTACACCGAACACATCCATGTTATGTCCTATAGTAGATGATTGATGAATGTTTTAGATATTATATCTGGAAAAATAAAAGAGCTAGAGGAATAGTCCAACTGGGACAGCATATTGTGAGAACTGTCAAATCTGGGCCCATCAAAACAACAAATGACAGTTTCAGTGCCAATAAGTAGCAAATCCTCAGAATGATTGCCTGTCTGACCTCATAAAAGAACATCAGGGTCAAGACCAAACAAAAGACAGACTCTCAGCTGGAATAATGGAAATAAAAGCTCTGTGAAAACAATAAAAGTTAAAAGCCTGGGAGAAACAATGAACTGAGGTAAAGCTCTTCAATTTATTTGAACCCAAAAGCAACACCTCTAAGTGAATATTTGTTCTTCTTCATAGAATAATATGAATTTTGTGCAAGTGGCTTTTCTCTGACTTGAGAATTAAAGAAAAGAGTATGAACTTT